CAAAAATTACAAAAAACAAATTCACTGTTTCAAACTTTAAAGTTACCGTGTTCCCTTGAACGACGTCGAATACAATTTTCGTATCTGGGAAAGCCACTCGACTCGAATTACAGAACATGCTATTACATAGCACCAGGAGGCAAATAAAAATTCAATATTCGAAAAGACTTGTTGATGGAATATGAAATATCGTCCCTGTGGTTCGATATTGGAGTTTCAACGATGGTAATATCATGGATTACATAATAGCACCGCTTTTGCGAAATCGCGACTCGATTCGAACATGTGTTTGAATTTTGAATACACGAAAGTTGGCCGTCTTCTGAAATATGGATCAGTGAAGTGTACACCGTGTGGCCTCGAATGGAGGCGTTTTCTCGCCCCTCTCCCCACCCCTCTCTCTTTTTCTCTCTTTCTCTCTCTCTCTCTCTCTCTCTCTCTCTCTCTGTCCTCCCTGCCATTTCGTTCTCCGACCAAATATTTGGTGCAAACACTCGACTCTGATTTTATAATTCCGGTCGAGTGGGGCATAGCTCTTTCAAAGAAACTGCCTACCATTTCAAACTAGTTTCGTGCTTTTCCCACCTGGCCATATATGCATAGCTACACAGTGATCCGTGAAACGAATGAATTTACTGCGACGGAAAAAGCAACTGTTTGTTTCTCTTGCGGCACTAAACGAATCCACAGCGAAACAGGCGCCGCGAGGACCTTACGCCCTCGTTCGTTTGGCTAACCGATTATACGAGCAAACTTTTTTATCACGGTACAAACATAAGCCGATTATAGATCTGTCGGTTTAATCTGTTGTATGGCGAGATAGCAATTTTGTAAGTAAACTTAGCGAGGAGCAATTTTGAGGTATTATCGCTGTACGAATGAGTAACTTTAAAACTAGCACACAAATCGCGTTGAGTGAAAAATTTACATGGTTAATTCGAAAGTTATTCGACAAATTACGGACAGCCAACAAATGCTAAAGTGTGTCGTTTCGTAGATGTCAGTAACAAAAAGTTGGCAAAAATTTCGCTTGTTTTTCCTGGATCAAACGTGTATCAGATGGCGTTTAAAGCTTGCTTTCCATGAAAGATATGTGGGATATTCAGATTCGTGTTTTATCGTTGGTATTTTACTCTGGCGGTAGAAAAAGGTGCAACTGTTCTTATCCAGGAGGGATAATGGAGCACGCTGATTCTGGCTTTCATCGATCAGAATCTCCCGCGTTGGGAATAATACATCTAACGACCACCAGATGGAGGTAGTGTTAGCTAATGGAAGCTATCTTCAACTTTCTCGTCGAATACTCAACTGAAAAGTTTGGCTTGCTTTTACGATGAAATTGCAGCATGGATAGCACTTATTTACGTGATATAACCAAAGGAAAAGTGAACGAAGAAAATTGCTATGGATATTAAAAGAACGTCTAGGTTTTCATGGTTCCAAAAGGAAATTTTTATTAAGCCGTCGTAAGATATCATTTCTATGCATGTAAAGTATCACTTAATTAAATTCGAAAAAATATGTGGGATAAAATCACTTTGGATTATATCACGGTCTCTCGGTATTCCTGAAGACACACAAATTGAGAAAAAATTGCAAACGTTATATCTATTGGAATACTATAAAAAGACATAACACGTATTGTCAATATTTCTCGGAGTTATACCAGGGGATCCAATATCCGTACCGTGAACCACACTAAAGGTCTTATTTATGAGTTTAATACCTACCGATAATCCAGCCTAGCAATTGCTGCTAAATTAGAAAAAAGATATTAGACTTCTGAAAGAATGCCCGTGGAAGCGCCATGCAAAGAAATTTGACATTTTCAGTTGGAATTCGATGAGAGGAAAATGTTACCTTAATAACCTGTTCTTTCGTGAGATTTATTGTTTCGAAATGCATACTTTCGTCGAATTACGACTAGAACGGCACAGACACAGAATTTCTGTTAAAATACCATTCCCGATTCTCTGAGAGGACATCAGTTACCGTATATCAGGAATAACGGTGATTGCGCGCAAAGTGCGATAATGTTGTGATATCGTAATTCCTGATCAGTTGAACTATCTATTACGAATTAACCAACGGTAATAAAAGAAACAAAATATCAAGAATTTCTCTAAAAAATTGGAAACTACATGAAGATTGCTAAAAATCAAATACCTTGAAAAATTCTGTGAGTGAATTGCATAATGTCTGTCCCATTTCGACTAGAATACTACGAATCGACGTTTGCAATTTAACGGATAGTGGTTGGCATAAGGTAACGGAATCGTTTGGTATTCCAACGACGCTCTGGTCAACTTAAATGCTCTTGATTGCATCGATTGTAGCGTGAAAATGGCATCATCACACCCGATAGGTCGTATCGTGTACATACCATGTCACTTTGATTCCGAAATTCCACGTGGAGCGCTTCAAATTTCGTTAAACACCACTTTTTGCCCCCACTGGGATTCTCTTCATCGCTGTTCTGTTTGACCGCGGAATTGTTTCCTTCGTAACTATGCGTAACTCTTAACGCGCGGAGCAAATAGTATCATTTTAATTTTTGTAGAGACATTATAATGCAGTTACAAACTTGTATGATTAAACTTACTAGTAACATTATAAGTTATTATTATTATAAATTATTAGTATATAAAAATTAGTATGTAAAGAAAACACAACAGACAATAGTATGATATAAAATATTCAAAATATAGTACTCGTTATAATGTTCAATGAGCGAAATCTTTAATTAAACTGTAATTAAGCTTGCTGTCTTTAATTATATCAAAAATATGAATGTACATAAACATTCGGAGCTCATAATAGAATTAAGGAGCTTTAATTAACATAATTAAAAATACACCGAGATTTTGGTTTCTTTGATACGCTTGCCAGCTTCACTTCGTTTCAATTAACTCCTATGTTTCTGGTTTCTCTTTCGTACACGCAACCTCTATGAAACACAACAAGACGTCTCCTCAGAGTGTTAGAGAAAAATAGCATAATACTATTATCAAGGCATTTTAATTTCAATAACAAAATAGGTTTCAATCATTGCACGCATCGGGATTGCTTTAATTCCTCTTCAATAATTTCCAACAGATAGGCTACGTACAAACTACTGCCACGTCGAGTGCGATAAAACCACTGCCGTCATACCGAAAGTTATGGATTTGAACCAGCGGCGAAGTTCTGCTAACTCGACGTCGTGTAAATTAATCGCGGCAAACTTCGAGCGGCTGCACTGAAAAGTTACCATACAGAATTTAAAATAAATGTTGATTCATTTTTCCCTCGTTCCTTGTTAGCTTCCTTTATTCTTTTCTTTTTTTTTTTTGTTACTAGAGTACATATACTACCTTACACAAGTATCTGGACGCTTTTGGTCAACTAGAATTAAGAATACGTGAATTTTATAGAAATGTGCGCAATAATAAATTAAAAATTGGAGGCGGCACTAACTATGTTTCTTGTAGAATCAACAAATACTTATACATTTAAATGGTCTCTTTAGATCCTCGATCCTTAACGTTCCATACAATTGTACTTCCTCAAACATTTACTTCTATTGAGAAAGCTTCAAACGTTTCGTTTCATGAGCGTATAGTATAATGAATTGTATAGTGTAAACGAAAGACATCGATAATTAGAATTTTTTCAAATATTTAAAAAATTTAAACAGAAGGGAAAATTAAGCTTGGACATACATAACCCAGTTTGCTCTTGAATCTAATTTATATCGCAAATTGGAAAATCTAAAGATACGGAATTACAAAATAGTAACAGATATACAATTAATTATTCCATCAATCATTAATTATTAATAATTTATATTAATTATTCCATATTGATTTCTAAATGTCAATGTAATTGTATCGTAATATTCTATTATACGCAGTTATGGCAATTATAAAGAATAAAATGCTCGCAGGTTCATTTAAGTAATTCTTTGATTAAAATACATTTTGTTAGAAATAGCCAAGTGTCTATATACTTTTGAACTGCTGAGTCCATAAAATAACGTATCAAATGTTTTCTTTTTTTTTATAAACGCTAAAACACGTTCAGATATCTCCTAATGTTAGTGGTATATAGTATATTCGATTATCAGAAGCTTTCTTTGAGATAGACACGAAATCCATTAAGATTTTGCGTCGACGGGTCTTATTCTTCTTCCCTCGGGACATTCATCGACCATTGTATTTTCCTTTCATGCTGTATTTTCCTTCTGCGTTTCTGTTGGCACGGGGACCAGACTGTACCATGTATACCTTTATAACAATTTCAACGAAACGCCTAACCGGCTTAGGGTATCCCTGTTTGCTTCCTACTTAACCAAACCAGACAAAATGGTATAACGATTGGTAAATAAACGGCGAATCTGGACAACCCACTATCGTTCTGTAGTTGAAGCATGTGGGTTATGAAGATGACAGTGATTGCGGGACGCTCGTTTTATTCGTTCGGATGGAACAGGGTCGATCATAACTTGATGACAGAAGGAAGGGTGGTAAAATTTCGGATGACCTGAAGAAGATGGTATTCCAAAAATACCACAAAATCATCTCTCTCTCTCTCTCTCTTTCTGTTTGCTTGTTTAGTAGAGACGATGTAATTGGAAAGAAAAATAAATGAAACGCAAAAAGGGAAAAATAGATAGCGAACAGGAAATGACGAAACACGAATCTGTGAACATGCGTATCGCTGTCAATTGATCTAGTTAATCCGACGACGAAAATATCAACGTTTTAAACCGAGACAGAAAGGATAAAATAAATATCTAGCAAACGAATTGAATATATAAAAACCACGAAATTTTTATTTATATTTCGTTTAAAATTGAACGGTTGAAAGTTGAATTTAAATACACTGAAATTCATCAGGACTCTAATGAAACGATTGTAAACGCCATACAAAGGACAAATCAGTGAGGAAAAGGGACCATCGAGCAAATCGAGAATTAATAGGATTAATTGTTACAACGGCGAGTCAATATCTCTGCTTACCTCGAAGCTTGTTGAACGAAGATCTCCTTTCAATGGATCCTGTTCCTGGCTCTATAATTTTATTAAAAGTCCGTCTTTTTATCGTAATCGATCAAACGGACCGCCAGTAGCAGCTGTATACCGACAGGATCCATTTCTGCGCGGTAGATGATTCGACACTTGCAGAATTATATTCACGCTGGAAAATTGATCGACACTCCCGATAGACCGAAATTACATTGGTATATGCGGCGAAATTTTTACAGCAATTTAGAAGCGAAGCATATTAGAGTAATTCGTCGATTAATCACGAGCAAAGGTTACGAAATATCCAACGAGAGCATAAATTAACTAAATGTATAAACTAACGCAATTTCCTATCCCACAATAATACGAATCGTGTACGAACGATCGCAACTAACGAAACTCGAAAATTAAGAAATTAGCGGAATTTTATTTTTTCGTGGAGCACAGTTGTTACTGGTTTCGACGTGGCAAACTTAAAATCCTCGTTACATATTAACGAAGCGTTCACGAACGTCCCAAGATCGCAACTAACGAAATTCGAAGACTAAAAAATTAGCGAAGCTTTATGTTTTTGGCACATTTGCCAATTATTTCTACGCGAGAAACTGAAAACCTTCGTCACGTGTTAACGAATCTACGAACGTTTCGCGACTAACGAAACTCAGAGCCGAAATTTTGTTTCCTTCCTTTTGCGTGAAACACAGTCGTCAATCGTTTTGACAGGAGAAACTTGAAATCCTTGCCACGTGTTATCGAATCTACAAACGTTTCGCCATCCACAACTATCGAAACTCAAATATTTTAAAATTTGCGTATTTCTTTTTTCTTTTTCGTGCACTACGATTAGCAATTATTTCAGCACAAAATACTTGAAATCTTCGTCACGTGTTCGTACATAATTCACAGTATAACAGTATATAGTTGGCGATCGTAACTATCGAATCTTGTAGACTGAAAAATTAGCGTGCTTTTCTTTCTTTTGAACACGGTTACCAATCGTTTCGACGCGAGGAACTTGAAATTCTACAACTGTATGCGTCACGGTTCGATGTGTATCTGTTGGTTGTTGTCACTTACCATAGGAATTCTAATTGAATTCCAAGTGGATTCGCAAACGCAACAAGGAACGCGGCGCTGCGTAGTCGTAATCTGGTCGATTCTAGAAATTCCTGGCGTGGTTAATCCGCCAGAGCGACCATCGGTGACGATGTTGAAAGAAAAACATAGTGCACAGTGGAGAATGCAAAATAAATAACGCCCCTGTTTGGCTACTGTTGCGTCGTATTGATTTAATTCGGATCGACCAAGTGCAACAGATGCATTCCTACGGGAAATCTTTGCCACTTATGAACGCGAGCTCTCTTCGGCGATTCCAAGCTGGCGCGGAATATTTATCCTCGCGCGGTTTATGTGTACTCTTAATTCATTATATCATTTACACGAATGTTGCATCCATGATAATGTAATTAAACCGACTGTATAATTAGAAATTTCAGTTATAATTTATCCACAATCCAACGTGATTATCTATCATGAATTTCTAATTAACTCCGATTAAATTGCATCGTTCAATATACAGGCAGATTCATCTGCTTATCGAATTTGTTGATTTGACAAAAATAGAATTGGAATATTGGGTGGTTGGTTTTAGTATATGGAAGAAAAAGGTTGAAGAGAGAAATAGGTTAACATGAACATTCTTCCTAGATCGAATAGGTGTGTTTTCGATTACGATTTGAAAAAAAAAACGGGTGGTTCGAGGAGGCGCACCCTTCAGCCAGAGTGTCAGGCGTCGAAAGAGGAGAAAGAGTAGACAAAACGATGCATCGTGTTTTGCGACTGCGTCGAGAGAGCGTGGATCCTCAGCGAATCCAAGTTTCGCTTCAGTTTACGGCGCGCTGTCGATTTCGCCGAATTGATATCTCGTAGTGAACATATCCATCGGTGGATTTTCTCCTTGCAACAATAAATGTTTACGACCTACTCTAAACACCCTATTTGAAAAAGTTACCTGTAGTAATAATAATAGCAATAATAAAAAATATTAAACGTACGAAAGCAATCACGATAATAGATAGAAACGTTACAAAAATAATACATAGATTAACAAGCTTTGACATTTCATATTTTATAATGTTTCCGCCAAGTGATTTCCTTCTAATCTCCACCATTTTATCACAGTGGTAAATGAAGAAACGAATTCGAACTTCTTCGTGAAAATCTGAATTTCTTTACGGCCGGCTAATTTTCGTTATAATTTCTTACATACTGGTTCCGTAGATTCTTGTTTGAATGTCAAAGAAGAGTATCTAGTCGGCTTGAAGGTCGAAGGAACGTGAAACGACGAAGCACCGAGTTGCGACAACGTCACGAGTGAATGGCGCATAAGTGTGCATTGTATGATTGCCAGACAGTCGCAAAACTAAACGCGTGTGAAACGCGGCGAATTTAAGCGGAGCGGATTTAAGAAGGCCAAAGTTCTACAGTGGTGGAAAGGGGAAGGCAACGTGAAAGGTAAATCATTTACGAAGTCTCTGGCGAATCGAGTTACCGATAAACAGGACACATCGAGTTAAGTCTGTTCGACTTTACTTTACAAGATAACCAAACACGAAAGTGTTCGTAAAATTCTAATATCATTAGAAATAATTGCAGGCACATTTGCAGCTTACAGAGGAGTTACTTTAATAATTTTTAACGGAAAATCGGTCCGAAATAAAAACTGCGAAATAATTCTCGACAATAGCTTTTAGATTTGACGATAATTAATATATAAAATAAAAAGTAGTGCGAAATTTTGAAAATAATTTGATAATCGAAGGATACAAAAGGATTTGACAATTAAATATTTCGTTTATTGACGAATTATCAAACTTGTGAAAAATTTAAAGATACAAAAATGCAGACAATATTGAAAAATATGTGAAACAACCAAAGTAGAGTATTCTTTCCAATATTTATGATAATTTTCAGATTAAGGTGATTTATAGTGTTCAGAAGATGAAACAAATCTCTGTTTATATTTAATCGCTGTATCCATTTTTTAAGAAATATGTGTTTGTGGATCAATTTGATCGAGAAATCTGCCAATTGCGAGTTCATAAGAAGTGTGAATTTTCATGAGCCATACGAAAAAGATTTTTCGGTGCGGAGTAAAAGATAGAGTGCAACATATATGTACGTAAATACGTGCAGTAGAAGAAGTGGCGAATAATTGATAGGCAAACATTTCTTGCTCGGCCAGAGTGTTCTAACACGCGGATATATAGCCAGACTTACAAGTGGTTTTCTAATTTTAAACATTAATGCCTTGGGTCCGACAACGTGTGATCACGATGCTGTTAACGTCGCCTTAAATTGACAACGTGGTCATTTGCAACGTGCATCCATTTTAACGAGTAATTCCTATTGAATTATCATCGAACCACTGTCTTTTCTTTGCGTCGCGCTATCGAGGCAATATTCTTGTGTAAATTATCCACTAACGAGTTTTCTGAATATGGTATGAGTGTTGTACGAAACATATTAAAACTTGATTAACCCTGTACCAAGAGAAAGATTATGGCGATTATATTGGGAAAATTTGACAGAAATCTGAAAATGTGTACAGGAGTTGCAAGAGATTACGAGCTTCATAAAAGGCAGCGAGGTATTTGAACAGTCGTTTGTTCGTTATATTAGAAACCATCCTTTGTTTCTTCAAACAGAAAATTCATATGCACGAAACTACCCCTCAAAACGATTGTGAGTAGGTTTGATATTCGTTTAAAATTTTGCCAATATTACAGTCTCATTACAACGTTAATAAAGTTTCGAAATGTTTTATACGACACACGTACAAGCGGTTTGATAATTATTCAAACACTTTCATGAATCACCGTATTTTACCCGACACTACGTATAGTTTGCATAGAAATACAACGAATAATTTATGGAGTAATATTGCAATGTACGCGAATAATTTGATAGAAATTATATTCTGACTAGGTCCGATATTTCATTGCATTTAAAATACGGTCGAAAAATTCGTGTGAATGCGAATCGTCGAGTTGGTGGTCGTATAAATTGTATTTCACGAATTGTAGTTCGTGCATGAAGGGCGAAATTAAACGCAGCTGCTTACGCGTGACAAAATTAATACGGGTGGAAGGGAAGGGAATTTTGGTTAAAACTAGGGAAAAAATTCGACTAGAATAAGCTGGAATAAAGCCTTTGATTTATCAACCGATGATCATCGAAGCGAAGAAGCGTTTGCAGCAAAAATGGAAAAACGAATATGTATAGAGAAACTAGCGCATGTACGGAAAGTAGAGCGAAGGAAGAAGTTTCTAGTTATCTTGTTCGATAAGAGCTTCGTGGAGAATCGGCGTGGCTTGCCGTAAGGAATTTACAGTTTATTAGATGAACATGCAGAAATCTGCATGATAAGAAAACTCTGCCAATTTTAATTCGCCTGGCGTAAGAAAACTACGGGAATAAAAAAACATTTTCTACTTCTTCGCAACTAATTTTTCAATTTATCTGAGTCGGTAGCCACTCTCTTATTCATGAAAGGAATTTCATAGCGCGAATTTTATTCACTTTGAATGGAGATTGACAAACATTCCACTAATTGTTCTAAAATTAAATTCGTGACAAAGTTCTCTATTTATATTTAAGTTTATCGAGAGAGCTAGTTGTTCCATCTAAAGAACTGTGTTAATATTAAATACCAGAGTGGTTTCCAGAGGTAGGAGAAAATCAAAGGTAAAGGGAAATCAAGCAGGGAGATTGTATCAAGAAGTAATGTATTCCGTGACCGTCAGTTGGGCGTACAGTGGTTGCTTCTCGTGTCAACTAAGTTTGACATAGTACCTCAAGTTTCTTGGAAATGGTGTTGCTAACACTTATCGTTTCTCATTTGCATCAAACTAGGTAAAGGTGGGTCTTGTTAAACGTATTGACAAATTTGCTTAATAAATTTATTTTAGATTAGCGAAATAAAAAGTGGTGAATTTATTACTGTCTCTCTCTCTCTCTCTCTCTCTCTCTCTCTTCCTCTCTTTAATTTTGAATTCAGAAATGTTTAATAAATACCTACAGTCGATGGATTTGTTTGCTTTGAATCTCTTACGGAGATTGCCAAAAGAACAGCTAAATTTAATGGAAAACTGATAATGAAAATCAAACACGACTATTTATTCATATAGCCCACGTCATACTAATTATTCGAGAAATTCTATTGTAATAATTGTCTCCTCTAAATTGTTTTTCATAATGTTACTTCAGCAACGTGCGCATGTTACTTCGACAATCTGGGCTTTTACGACATTTCCAAATTTTTCTATCAACGATAGCAGCTGTGGTTAACAGCTGGACGTTTTATTGCAAAGATTTCTCGCTGAGATTGCGTCGTGCAAGGTCCTTTAATACGCACAAGAAATACGAAAAGCGGCAGTAAATCGAGAATCACGGGAATCCATAAAAAAGATTTGCAGAAACCTTACGATACCCTTGACGTTTCCAAATTTCCTAAGTTTACCGCTATCTTCACGATTAAAGAACGTATGTAGCTCCTTCTATTTATTGTACGAAGGGTAAGCTTGCTTCTCCCTTCTGTGTAGAAGAAACTCGAAAAAAAGAGAGTACCAGTCCCTCTTTGGGCTTTGTCTCTTTAAATAAGATGCAAATAAACCCGAAATAAATTATTCCAGAGCTCTCTTATACAATTGGACTAATCTTATTACTAAAATTTTGTAAGTCACGCGAGACACAAATTGTTGATATTAAATTCTCACGACGAATAGTAAAGCTTGTTAAAAAAAAAAGGGGAGGGGGAAATCTCTTGTAACTCTGGAATATTTAATTCTGTTTTCTTGTTTATCTTTAACAAATGTACGTGATTTATTCAGGATTTTAAAATGATTGGTAAATACTTTCTTACTATTCCTGGTATTCGGTTTCGAGCTGTTCGTTGGACGTTGAACGAAATCACTCGAAGTCACGAAAGTCACTCGATTATCGAGTATCCTCGGCATCTAGCGAAAAAAGTAGAACACTGAATACGGCATAGACCTTGCCAAATAAACAGGGGCTTACGAAAGTATTATATCTGAATACGTCTCATAGAAAAAATTTTATAAACATGTTACGTATATTATACAATTTCTGGAACGAGACTAATTTTAAAAAGCATTTTCAAGATAATGAAATTAAATATGATTCGGTTAAGGATTTAGGTCTCGCAAATTATTTTATCTGTTAAATTGCACATCTTATTTAGCAGATTTAATTTTGCAAAGTTACATTCCTCTTGTGCCTTTTAATTTTCTTATCGTTATATCCACGTTCCAATTGATTATTCGATGCGGAGATAAGCCTAGTGTCATGATTAATTAAAAGAATTATATTAAATCCATTCAGACATTGTATCATGTCCATGTTATCATAATCATCGTATCCTACTATATTTCTGCCATATCTGTCGAAATATTATCTTCCACTTTATCCTATATATTATCTTCATTTAACGTCTGCCCAAGTATAAATATACGATGATTCATGAGTATTATAGCGAAGCACGGCTTCCCTGATGACGATAATCAATAAATATCAGCACACGTTCTTTGAAACAGAATAACTTTATTAAAATTCAGCCATGCGACTTGACCTTTCTTGAAAAGTTAGAAAGATTAGATTACTGGATGACGTGTAAAGATAATTTGAAGAAATAGCAATATGATTGGAATTGTGAAATAGGAAGTAAAGGTCACTTTCCACATCTTTTTTATCTGGGCTTGTAATAAAATTTAAACAACACATTATGTCAGTTAGATTAGACTACGGATTTTTATGTAAATTCATATTTTTGAGAATGCAATTAAGAGAGAAGAACCTCGGTAGAAAATTGTTTGACCTAACAAGTATTAGAGAAATCATAGTACTTTGAATATTTTAAGTACTTTTGATATTACTATATATGTGTATATATTTTGTGCAATTTTGCACTTTTAAATTTCCTCTAAATGCGTGAAAAGCCGTAGTCCAGTTACAGATATGCTGAACATTTTATCGAAATCTGTTGATCAATGGAATCAAGTAACAGACATCGAAAGATATGAGTCTGTAGATTTTAGGCCGAAATTCGCGAAAACTGTGATTTTCACCGTTTTTAACCGTTTTTAGCTCATACTAACGTCAGCCGGTTCCGATGAAATTCACAGCATGTATGTAACTGGCATAAATCTTCAAAATGTATTCTTGAAATTTTCATACCAGGTACCAATAAAAAAATTGTAAAAGGCGATC